AACTCATTTGCAGCTGAAGTGCCGATTGTGTACGTTAAAAATATTAATTATTGTATTTAAGATATTTTATTTGTATAACCGATTTCTTGTTTATGGAATTTCTGTATTATTGTTACATAAATATAAATAAACATTAATATAAGAATCTCACACGAAAGTTAAGTTTAGAAAAATAATAAATAAGAAAAATTGCGCGATTTCTTATAAAAATATTCTCCCCCCAACAGTTTGTGGGCTCATTCCCTTTTTCAAATTGATAAATATTCCAATTGATAAATTCAATTAAATAGCTCACAATAAAGACAAGTATTCAAAAATTAAAAAAAATATTTAATAAATAATAATTTTAAGTATTAGTACTTACATTATATCCACATAAATCTAGATCTTAGAACTTCGATCACATAGTGCTGCTTGGTAACGAAATGCGATTGCTTTAAAAACCCAATATTTCTGGGTTACGAAGCTGGATACACCCACGGCTAGCTGTGGAAAAATTCTCACCCCCAAAGTTCTCATATTACACTCTTACCCCACAGTTGGGGTAATGAACATTCCTTTATCCGGAAGTTAGGGGTGAACGATCGCAAACTGCCACAGTAGGTTCAGTTAGCGATGTCCGAGATTGAAATCTAAGGTCAAGTCAAAAATAGCTACTTCATAGATAATTCAAGCCCCGTATGATTTCCGGGAAATCCCGGGAACGAAGTCTAATTCCCGGGAATGGAAAAATTACAAAATTCTTATGATTTCCCGGGAAAGAAACCCTATTGGTAATATCACAACGATAACAAAGGCACTCTATGAAATTTGTTATAGCATTCGTAATTATATGAAACTGTTTACTCTGATGCAGAAATTTTGAAAGAGTGATTCTTAAATGCTTCCAATTTAGACAAATTCAGGACAAAAAAATATAAAAAATAATAATAATTTAAAAAAATAGGAGTTTTAATATTTTGGTCATTTTTCACGTTTTAAATTTTCTGTTTTCTTGGTTCTAAAGTACTTCTCCCCCCCCCCATTAATCCTCATGTTGTGACCCGCGTGAAATAGCCATGATATGTACATTAGGCCTTGTCCCTCATGCGCTATTGTGTCACTGAATTTAGTTTATAGTTTGTACAGATTAATTTTGAAAAAAAAGAAGTTAATGTTATTTTTATAAATGAATTCTAGAAAATTTTAAATTAATGAATTTTTAAGGTGAAAAAAGTTGGTGGAATGATATTCCTTAGTACAGCTGGTCACGGAGTTGGATCTTTGTCAGTAAAATTGCGTTACAATGTATTCAGGCCCGCAGAAGAATTGTGCAAGGTAAGTGAAACTTTATTTCCGTGTATACTGCAAAATTTTTCTCATTGTTCATTGTTTAAAATGAAACAATTTTATATGTTTTTGCAAAATTCTTGGCAAGAAAAGAGAAAAAATGTATTATGGTAAAAAGAGATTTTTAATGTGTAAAAATCAACAGATTAAACATGGAACTGGTCGCATTAAAATAGGATGCTTCTGCTTACTTATCAAAGAAACTGATTGCATCAGATATCGAAATCTAACACAAATATAACACTGAGAGAAATAATGCAAGCGCCCAATCCCAAATGATACACTACCATTTAAGATGACTGGCGAGGTTTTGAATCGTTATTCTGAAAAAGCGTATAAATGAATTTATTTTATATTTAGTGTCAGTTCAATTAGAAATTGCTTGACAAATTGTTTTAAAAATATCATTAGTAGAAGCATTTATTTAAATACATATTTTTTTTGTGGCAATGAATGGAAAACAAATGTTATTTTTCAAAACATTCTTCTTTCATGAAAAATGTTTCAAAAATAATATTTTACCTAAATATAACTGTGATTTTCTACAGAATCTGAACAAGGAATTTAAAAAAATTCTCATTATTTTCAGAGTAACTATCAATTGAAATAATAACGGGTGTTTTTTGTCAAAATTTTTCTACTTTGCTATATTGAAGTACGAATAAACCCACTTCTGAATAACATATTTAAAAACTCGTAGTTCAGGCTCTGTACAGAAGTGTTTGTTATATAAAAGAAAAATATTATTATCCCTATAGAACAGGCATGTCAAACACGCGGCCCGCGGGCCACATGCGGCCCGCTAATACATAAGTTGCGGCCAGCGGAGACATTTTATAAAATTTTAAATATAATCTTTAATGTTTTTTTCTTATTTTAAAATTTATTTCTATAAACTTTTTTTTAAAAAAAAAATACTACATATTAACCTGTTATTTATTCTTGGTTTAAAAAAATAAAAAAATAAAAACCTTTTTAAATATAAAATAACATTAAAATAATTTTTTTTAATATTTTATTATTTTTTTCATTCAATATTTTACTATATTATATATTAATTCTTATTAAGTTCTTAAATGCATTCATGCATATCATTCACTAGAGATGGCATTATGAATCATTGTGTGCCACTTCTATTTCTCTTTGAATTGTACAATCAGGGAGAGGCGAATAGTGTGACGTCAGATGCCGTTGAAATTTCTTTTTTTTTAGTGAATGTTAACGTCGAGCTGTTCAGCTACTCAAAGACGTTTGGCCACGAACCTCGTAATATTGCACCATGGTCAAGCGACGAGGACGACACCTGAGCTCACACCTCCCTCTTCTAACTTCCGCACCACAGCTGCGGAAGGACATTTGAACCTCGACATTTTTTCACAATAACTTGTTGAGAATTTGAGGTGCGGCTTAGTTTCGAATAAATACGGTATTATGTCCAGCACGAGTAAAATCAAATTTAAAGTGTAATTTTTTAAGCTGAAATTCTCTATAACCAGCAGAGATGATGAAATATTTAAGAATTATAGTTGAGTCGATTTATGTATTAGGCATAATACACGTTTTTGATACACTTTTAGAAATCTTGATTCATAAAGAGTTAAAACGATTTTTTAAATTGCTTGATGATATAATTTTCTTGGAAACAAAAATTATGAAAGTGCTGAATTAAAAGATGATCATTCGGTAAAGCACCTGGCTTTCTCAGTTGATATTACAAGTCAATCTTTTTCTACAATGCTATTTGATAATATTAACGCTCTCAAACAAAAATTATTACTGAAAAATGTTTACAAACAGAAAGAGAGAACTTGTCTCGCCTTGACTGCTTTCAAAAAAAAATCTATTGATTAAATGCCTTAAATTAAAATTTACATTCTCACCAAATTACATTAAAATTTTAATTTCTCACCAAATTAAATGGTTAGAAATGGAATTCGATCGAGTATTATCTGATATTAAATATTTTGAATTAGTATTTCGTTTTTTAACTTCACCTCTATCTATTGATATTGTAATTGTTGAAGAAAAATTACGAATGGAATTAATGGAAATCTATTGTGATTCTTTGCTGAAGCAAAAATGTTTTGAAGTGAAAACTCAAGATGTTTATACATATTCATATCTGTAGATCGGTTCCTTAAGATGTTATCATTTGTTACGCGTATAACGGCTAAGCTCGGAAGCACTTATCTATGCAAGCAACCATTTTCTTTAACAAAAAATAACAAAAATTCAGAATGGTCGAGATTAAATGATCAACATTTACCATCATTTTTTAAAAATTACATCGGCTTAATATGTTCTACCAAATGACTTGCTTTGAGTGGGGAAAAAACGATGTCAGATATTTTCTAAAATTAACATTAAATTGTGTTTTGTATAATAAGTTTTGCCTTTTTTTTATAAGACAATATAAAACATGTATAGTTTAAAAAAATAAAATGAAATATCAAACGATTATTTGTGTATAATATATAATACATTGAATTTTATAAATACCATAATATAATAATTCAAAAAATCCTGTTTTTTTATTAATTTTTTGAACATTGAAAACATGCGGCCCTCAACTTAATATAAAATAGTTCATGTGGCCCGTGATACCAAATGAGTTTGACATGCCTGCTATAGAAGCATGTTGCGCAAAGAAGAATGTTTTGAAAGGATCTCTTTTTTCAATTCCTATTATTAGTTCACATTCTACCAACATATATACAGTAGAACGTCGTTTATCCGAATCAATTGGGACCGGACACCGTTCAGATATGCGATTGTTCGGATAACCGAAAACCGAATGTGATCCATGCATTATATGATACTGGACACTATACAAATATTGAAAATCATCACATACGGGAAACGTGCATGAAGAAAAAGAAATAGGTGCAAAATGTCTCAATTTCACCTTGATTGGGGAGAATAAGCACTTATTTTTCGCTGTACCATTGTACACCTTCGTTTTTTCAATGCAAGGTCTCTGGTTCTCTTCAGCAGCAGTAGATGAGTAAGACAGCACTCTGATTGGTGTTCGTACCACTCCATAGCTGTCTCTAATGCAGAAATGCGTCAGCATTTGCTACTTTCGTTGTTATGTGTTGTCCTCGTCTTCATCCATTTCATCGTCGACGGGTTCGGATTCTTCTTGCACGGAAGTCACAATCTCGTCACCATTTAGCATTTAAAATCCACAGTCTTCTGCATCGCATGCCATCCAGGTTTCTACATAAACAATACTCAACAAAAGAGTACGTATACACCCCCTAACTTGGAAACAAACTGACCTAATATTTCGCGCAGATATTTACCAAATCACACAAAGGAAATTCCCCAAATATCCCTCACCTTGGATTTTCCCGTCACTTTCGACCTCACACGAAACAACTGTTGAGCATTGCACTGTTCGAAAGTGTATCCGGACTTTGGTTCGGATATTTGACGCTCCGGATAATAAACGTTCGGATAAACGACGTTCTACTGTATATATGTTGTTTAAATTTTCAATATATTTTGTTTCATACATACAAATTCAAATACATTTTTTAAGCTTCACTTCATATTAATACAATTTTTTCAAATATTAATTCATTAGTTAAATTTAATTAATGAATAAATAGTAACAAACAAAAATAATAGTCCCAACACCTTATATAAAAAGGAAAATTGCTCGTTGTGTCCCTGTAGCACAAGGTGTAGCACGTTAGACTTTTAATCCAAAATTCGTGGATTCGAATTCCACCTGGGATGGTCTAACTTCTGAGAATCTGATTTATGAATGAATAGATAGTAACAAACAAAAATAATAGTCCAACATCATATATGCTACACTGTTTGAATTAATTGGGACAAACATATTTTTCTTGGCTGAGTTGGCATGTGATTACCAGTGATGGCCGATCTGCCACAAATCAGTTATATCTGCCTTGAGGTATTGTGACGGATCGACTTTGAGACCATAATTTACTTGTTTGACTGGTTTTAGTGTATCAATTGCTCAGTTGTGGATATTTCAGTGCGGAAGCTAGTGGTCATAGTTTTGGGTTCCGTGTAACGTATACTACCTTTGCTTGTTCAAAGATGGATATTACTCCAAGGAAATAATCGCTCTTAACCAACACACTTCTATGACTGTGACAGATATAGCTACGGCAGTTGGTGAGAGCCAATAAAGTTTTTCCAGAATTTTAAGAACATTTCATAAATCCGGAACATCCTCTCTAAAAAGAAAAGGAAAATGCAGGTACAAGCGGTAAACTACTTGAAGAACCAATAAAATTCTAATAAGAAATTGCGAAATAAATTCCAAGGAGACAAGCACAGACCTTCAAAAGGAATTATTAGAGTATAATGCTGAAGTGAATGCCTCGATTGTTAGCAAAAGTTTCTGATAGTTGGTCATAAGGTAACAAGCTCGTGGATAAACCAATTTATAACTAAGAAAATGATGGGGAAATGTTTAGCAGGTGCCAAAAAATACCGATCTTGGATTTTTAAGGACTGGAAGATGGTAATTTTCAGTGATGAAACACGTTTATTTATGAAGGGATACAAATCGAGTGCAGTACGAAGTGAAGATGAAACTCTGTTACCAGATCATATCTGTTACGTTCACATAAAAGACAGAACTGATAAATGTAAGCATCACTGAATTAATAATTTTGTTTTAAGACTTGCGAATCTGGCACTTTCCCTAAAAAATTAGTTCTAACACATCACTCAATAAGTCCCGGGCCTAACTAATAAAACAACAATTTTTATGAAAAATTGAAATTTATTTATCAAGATACTCCCCTTCAAGAGTGATACATTCAGCCCAGCGCTATTCTAATTTTCAATACCTTTTACGTAGAACGGATTTTCTTTGCTCTCAAAATAGGCTTCTATTTCGGCAATCACTTCTTCATTTGAGCTAAACCTCTTTCCCTGTAGCATTCTTTTAAGGTTTGAAAGCAGCCAGTGGTCACTGGAGGCCAGATCTGGAATGTACGGTTGGAGGGAAAGTAATTTGAAAAGCAATTCATTCAATTTGACCATCGTTTTCATGGACTTGTTGCACGGAGTCTTGGTGAAACAGCCCTTTTTTCTTCTGCATTGGAGGACGTTATTTTTTCATTCATTTGATCCAATAAAGCACTATTAATTGTTTTGCCTTTCTTAAGGTAGTCAATAAGCAGAATTCCAAATGCATCCCAAGATAAGGATGCCATAACCTTGCCAGCTGACGTTTGAGTTGTCGGTCGCTTTGGACGGCTTTCGCCGATTCTGTCCTCTCTCAGTTGACGAACTTTTTGATTCAGACATGTAATATTGGATCCATGTTTCATCCATATCCCATATCTACATTAAAAAAATCCTGTTTATTTTGCTTAAACATCTCCAAACAACGCTCTGAATCGTCGATACATTGTTGTTTTTGATCGACAGTGAGCAAACACGACACCTACTTTGAACACAGCTTTCAAATAGACAAAAGATAATGCAGATCAGTGAATACACTGCCTATGATACCTTTAAATCCTCTGCTATCTCACGCAACTTCAATTTACGATCGGATAAAACGGTTTTATGGACTTTTTTTTTTTTGATGCTTTGTGGAACAACTTTAGAATTTAGGCGACTTGAACGTTCAGCGTCCTTTCTGTCTGTGCGACCACGTTTTAAGTCTGTATACTATCTCTTAACCATTGTTGGAGATGAAGCAGTGTCCAGATAACGCTTATCAAGCCATTGATTTGCTTGAACAGTGTTTTTCCCCATCAAAAAGCAATGTTCTATTAATACACGAAACTCTTTTTCATCCATGATTTCTAAGCAAACAAAAGTTTACTTCACTAAAACCACTGTAACGTTTCAACTAAAGATATTATCATGAAATTTTAACACGTGCCGTTTAAAGGTAATACTACCAGGTTAGGCTTAGGAAAGTTGGAAGGTATTGCCATCTATATGTTAGGACTTGGACATTGAGTGATCTGTTAATGTTAAAATTCACGGATGATGTTTTTTGGTAAATAAATGTCCATTTTTCTAAATTAATAAAAGGAGTTATTTTCTTAGTTAAAACTAATTTCTGTGTTGAGTTTGTTACTCAGAAGTAGGTTATTAAATACTTAAACACTAACAGGTGAAGAAATTTAATACTTTTTATAAAGTGAACTCTTTTTTTAAAAATTTAACAGAGATTTCGGTGAAATTTTAGTTTGCTCTAACAATACCCAACAGAGACCAACAATACCAACATGTTTTAGGGTTTTTTAATAATAAATCGCCCTGGAAAAAGTTAGCTCCTCTTAAAGTCATGATGAATGAATTCTATCAAATATTTAGAAATATTACGCAGTAGAATTGTTCAATTCATGATAACATGTGACGAAACATTTCAACAGAACTTGGTTCCTTGTCACAATTCGACATCAGTCCAGAATGTTATGCGGGAATATAAAATACGTGCTTGTTTGGCTTGATAATTCATCAGATCTAAATTCTATTGAGAACTTAAGACGTATTCTCAAGAATCGTTTAACTAAGAGGAACTGCTCGACGACAGAACAGATGATAAAAATTTCTACACAAGTGTAGTTCCTCGATGATAAAATCAAGAAATGTGCAATACACTATAGCGGAGTTAATGCTAAAACGTGTTCCAGAGATCATTTCTGCTAAAAGAGAACGGATTTTTCCGCCGTTTGTCCCAATTTATTCGAACAGTATAGTAGAAAGGAAAATGGCTTTCTATTTTGCCACTTATTATTGTGATTCTTTCCTATGTATATATACATTTATATCAATTATAATTATTTAATAAAAAGCAACTAAAATAAAATTTTCCTTTATTGGCCTAAGTAGGAATTGATTTTAAAAGAATTATTTATATTACTTGTTTGCAAGAAAATTGCATTCAAATCATTTTAATGATATTTTTAAAACAATTTTGTGTGTACATTCTCATTCAGATGACACAAAACATCAAAGAATATTCATTTATACTCTTTTTCAAAATCTCGGTGTTAAAAAATATTTTTTCTACGACTACATGTACCTTTAGTGGTTTCCTTAAGAGTTTTCTTAAATTTTGCCTGTTAAGATTTCAGGAAGATCAGTATATAGAATTTTTTTCGCTTGGGGTATTTGGTTCAAAAGTGATAACGTAGTTTCATTCATGTATAATGTACAGGTGGTTATCCAAATTATGAACGCACCACAGAGTTTTAAAGAATCCCTTATTAGTGTGATGTAGGACCACATTTGGCTTCTAATACAGCTTGGATTCACCTAGACATTGATTCATTCAAGTGCTGAATATTGTTTAGAGGAACATTGTACATTCTTCACTGAGATATTGTTTGAAATTTCTGGGAGAGATGCCGGTGTAGGATATCGAATCCATATTGATCAGTCTTAAATAGATCATACCGGTTCAATTATATTAAGGTCAGGTGACTGTGCGGATCAAGGTAGACGATAAACTTCAACCTTGTGATCCATAAACAACGTATGAACAAGTCCCGCTTCATGGATAGTGCATTATTATCCTGGAAAATTCCATCTCCTGTAGGAAACAAAAATTACATCATAGGATAGACCTGATCAGCTGAAATTTTTTTATACTTCTCTCCCAGCGATATTTCTTTTCAGGATTATGATTGGTCCAGCAGAACAACCCGATACGGCTGCCCATATCATGACAGATTCACCTACATGCCCATTCATACGTGAACCGGTCCTGTTGTAGAGGAAAGTGTGAAAGACGTAGACCATATTAATTTTTCTCCCACTTATCAGTCAACCAGATTCTGTGAGTATGGCACCACTGTAGACAATTTTTGGCATTAACATGTGTGACAGGTGTCTTGGGAATTGTTGCTCTGTCGAAAATGTTTTGTTTATAAAGGTGGCTTCTATAACTGTAATCATTGGCACAGTAGAATCCAGATGATAATTGAGCTCTGTGGTTACATTTGCTGCAATTGACATTGCTGAATTGCTGAACATTGAATTTGCTGCTTTAGACATTGCAATTTGTTTCAATACTCGTCGGTCTCTTTCAATGCGCTTGTCTATCCGTCCACTATTTAGCTTTGCCGCGCTTTGTGTATGTTATCATACTTTAAATACTATACCTCTAGAAACTTCTAAAAGTTGGGATTTTTCAATCGCACTGGCTCTAGCTAGACTGACTCTTACAATTTGACCCTTTTGAAATTCTGAGATGTCTGATATTTTACGCTTTTGAAAAAGATTCAAGACTTACAGAACTTTAATAAAGCTCCCACAAACTACCAGAACATGTACAATTCTATTTATAGAAAGAAACTGGTAACTATAAGTATATTTTAATGCTTAAGAAGCGTATTCAAAATTGTCAATATATTCACATGTGCTTTTATTATTTTGATAACCATCAATAATTTCATCTGTGAGGAAATTATAGTATTTTACTGAATCTTAATATCCTTGCTTACACATTGAAGAGTATTATTGGATAAATATACTGCTGGCCACACAAAATGCAACACCCTGAAGGAAGCATGCAAAACATGTGAAATTTACATCATGCGCTGGCAGCAATGAAATCTGCAAATCATTAGTATTATAGCCCAGACGCACATCACAGGTGACCGTATCGCCACCCGCTATATAAGGGGAGAACAGATTACCGATTTGAAGTACGGCTATTGTTCTTTGTACAGTTTTTTTCGTACGATGTTTACCGATGCCTCGTGGAAGACATTGAACGTCTTTCGAAC